GCTGTACAACGTCTGCTGTCTGCTGTGTCCACTTTGCTCTTTGCTTTTCCTGTGTGTGCTTTTCCTTTTGAGAAAAAATTGTTGACCATTTCGTTTGATGCTTCGTTGAGAGGCTTGATGAAAGAGGCTTCAACAAAGAGATGAATCTCATTTGTGCTTGTGGCGAAGATAGAAGCATGGGTTTCCAATTTAAAACAGAGTTGATTTCGATGTTTAAAGTGTGACCAATGTGGCAAAAGAAGAAGTACAGTCAGACAAAGGTATATGGATGGAAAGCGTTGGGATTTCTATATGGAATACTTGCAGATATATTATGTAAAATAAATACTAAAAATCTTAGAAATAAAATTGTTTCCTTAAGAAAATAAGAAAAATCCAAGTACAGTCCCATCAAAAGCCTTACCTTTAATAAAAAAAAAACTGTACCTCTGGTAACCCTTTCTCCACCCATCCTGATGCCTGATGCCTGTGCCTTGCTGTCGATGGTCGACAAGGGAAACATTTTATGAATGTCTCAACATTCATCAAGATTCCTCCTTTCGGAGCGCCACTCACGTACCGCCGCCTGACCCACGACCCGCGACCCGCGCTGATGGCTCCCCATAAATGATGCAATAATTTTTTGTAACCTTCAGACACGGAGCCAAGAAGAAAAATCAAGAAAAATTTGCCTTTGGGAATTTAGTTTGTTGAGCAAAAAGAAAAGGATGCGATGGCGCATACGTTTTGTTTTTTGAAAAATGCTCGGTATGCTGCTGCTGCTGCTTCAGCTTCTGCTTCGTGATGTATGACGGCTGGTCAGTCCAAGGATGGGCTGGGGGGGATTGGTTCTAGGCGTCAGCTGCCCGTCGTCAGACTCTCTGTTGTGTTGTCCTTCCTCCTTCGTGGAGCCGTGGAGCTTCCTTCTCGTCATCTTTCGGGGCCAGGACCGTCCAGCCCGTCCGTCAGTGGCGCATCTCGGGTCTGTGTTAATGGCTTCGGTCCATTATCTCGTCATGTTTGTTACGAAATTTAATTACTCTTATTTATTTTCACTGCTCCATCGTCGTCGTCACCGTGGTGCCGGCCCCGTCCGCGCTTATGATTTTCAGAGCTTGATCCAAAAAATGTGAGCGCAAAAATTAAATGTGAACAACACAAAAAATGAAATTAAAAACACTTTTTGCATAAAGAGAGTGTTCTGTCGTCCCTTCCCTTCCCTTCCCATACCTTCCCTGCCACACTTTTCAGTCTAATGTTTCGTCAAAAGCGGAAGGACTCGCGAGGACAACAGTGCACTTGACCGTTAAGCGCCCCCACCGCTGTGAAAGTCGAGTACTTTTGGGGATGGAGTGTCGGCTGTGATTTTTATTTTTTGGGTAAATCTAATAATAATTCTTGCGGCAATTAATTTTTGTTTTCCTATAAACATGCGAGGTTAAGTAGAACTAAATTAATGGGCACAATGGTAATAGAACACAAATAAAGGTTGAATGGAATTAAATGGAATGGAATTTAAATGAGAAATTGAGTAAACATCGAAAATAGAACATAAATTGAACGTGGAAATTAAATAATTTGTGGGATAAAATGGGATTGGAACATACAAATAAAGTTAAGTGGAACGATATATATCGAAGCAGCCCTAAAAGCTTGGCATTTTCTTGGCATACTTTCAAGCCACTAGAATCCTTTCTTTCCCAAGTGGAAACTATACAAGATAATTTTATACACAGATCCTTTAATTTTCTGTTGTCTCCTTTCCCCCGCCACTGCCCACCGTTTATGTTGATTGCACAATCCTTTTGAAATTAAATGCCCAACCCACGACAGAGATGCTGACTAAGGAAACTGCTGCTGCTGCGCTGCTAGTGCTGTTCCATTGACCAACAGAGTTCCATAGCTCCGTGTCCTGGACATTTTGCTCCTCTGTCAATCTGCTGCAGTCTCTCTCCCGTGCATGTCCATCATTTGCTTTTGTCTTTCGGTTTTGTTTGCACACGCCATTTCTTGCACAAAATCCTTGCAACCTCCCAGGTCCTCCCATTCTGGCAGATGCCTCGCCCCCATAGCCCCCCCTCCACCATACAACCAACGCCCACTGTAGTCGTCGGCGTCGTCCCTGCAGCTGTCAGTCAATGTGTCGTGTCACAGTGTCTCTCCATCTGTCTGTCACTTGCATGTCTGTATGTCTATTCTACGTGACATCAGGCGAGCGAGCGAGCGAGCGAACGGCTCTTCCTCCTACTGAATCCTTCTGTGAATCCTGGGCTCCTTGCTTACGGATCTGCCGTCTTGCTCAAGTTTTACTTAGCCCGAGAGTACGTTGGCATCGAAGGAGGAGGTCTCGGGGCCCGGAGAGTGAAGGATGCTCTGCAAGCGATGGATGGATTTTTGGATTCGCAACTTGCACTTGGATTACAAGTCTGATTTTGATGCGTACATGTTTGTCCCGCTCTCAGTGCTGGCAACGGAGGCGGAGCGGAGCGGAGTGGAGTGGAGCCCCAGGAAATACATATTGCACTTGCAACCGGCAGAAACAGAGGCAGGAACCCGTTCCCTACCCATCTCCGTTATGGGTCAACCTCACACAAACACAAAGAGAGAGAGAGAGGGAGAGAGATATTGGGGCAGAGTAGTAGAACGGGTAGAGAGAGCTCAAGTTTTCTTATGCTTTTGTCTTTGTGTCCTTTTATTATTTTATTCCCTGGCCTTGTTCTGCTCTTTGAAGGAGGGTATTACGACTTTCGAAAGAGGTTTGGAAGGGAGAGCTAGAAGTTACTTCGATTTTGTGTGCTTTCTGTTTGCAGACGAATCTGCAAATGTGACTATCTCACAGATTCATTATCAAATATTTTTCTGGTATTTTTATAATATTCTATGATCTTTTCTGACATTTTCCAGTATTTTTTGGTAACTATTTAAAGTTTTCTTCTGAATTTTTTCTAGAATCTTTTTTCTTAATCTGATTTTTTTGTGTGTTTATATAATTTTTGTCTAATTTCTGTTTTATAGTCTTCTAGTATTTTTCGATATTTTTTTGGTATTTTTTTTTAAATTCATATTTTTTTTTTCTAAAATTCATCTTACATTTTTTGGTATTCATCTAGTATTTTTCTATTATTTTCTATGGTATTTTCTGGTATTTTGTCTAGAATTCTCTACATGAAGCCTGTGTCTTGAAGTGCATGTAAATCTTCGGCTTGCCAAAATTGTACACTTCCATTCTTGTTTTAATTCACAGCGTCTGCTCTTGCAGCGTCATCCTCTGCCTGGTATTCTTCTTACCCGAGACTTTGTCTTCGTCTACGTCCTGGACTGGGTTGTGGCCCTGCTACTAGTCGTCTCCGTCTCCGGCGGCAACATTGTCTCAGAATGTCGTATCCTTGGATGCTAGAATGCTGCTCACTCACTCACTCAGAGACGACACTCACATGTGTGTGTGTGTGTGTGTGTGTGTGCGAGAGATGAGATGTGATGTGAGTTCGGATGCCTGGAAAACTCTGGGAAGCTCTTGCACTCTTGTTGTTGGGTTGTAAGTGACATTTGCAATTTTCAAAACTATTGAATGAGTGACAAGTTCTGCAGACACGATTGAAACTGACAGTTAACTCGAGACTTTGGCAAAACGAGTGACTCGGCATTGAATAAAATGCGAATTTACATACAAAATATACTCGTAGAGGAATGCAGACCGAAACGATCGCTAAATATATTGCACTTCTAACAAAATTAAACAGAGAGTATAATTCTGATGAATAATACCAATAATAAAAATAAATTTAATACGAAACGACATTACGGATGTATGTACATATGTACTACATACATATGTACGAATGATGATGATGATGACTCACTTGGCCATTAACAATTTCATTTCATTTGTCGCAATCGAATGAGAGAGAACGAGAACGAGACAGCTCTGTCTGTCTGTCAATGTCAACATCAATGTCACACCCCGTCCCTGGACACAGGACCAGACATTTTGTGACAAATAATTCAAACCGCATTTTATAATGAATTTTCCACACAGCCAGGCCAGAGACAGATCCAAAGCCGGACCCAGAACCAGAGCCAGAGAGAAGGGTGTGGCATTTGCAGTTAGAGGACTGCTGCCTGCACCTGATATCAGCAGCCCCCATATTTGGATGACATTTGCAGCGAGATTTATGCGATATAAACTCCGGCAAAAACTGATAATCACATTGATGAGCCTTGCTTTATTTTTGGATTCGGTTTCGGGCCTTAAGTGCCAGCAGCCAGCCGCCAGAGAGACGACAGCGTCACTCACACACACATCATTCGACAATAAAGTGATGGTTTTATGGTCCAGACAGCACCACACATTGCGTCCGGCTCACGATGATATGGTGACTGTTAAAGGTTGTGCGATCATAAATAATCCCTTCATGGATCTTGTATTGTCTTGCGAATCTCTGGAAATGGAGTTGGTGTATGAATTGATGGACTTTGAGTTGCTTTTATGTAGATTTGATGATCAGAAAATTGATTTAAAGCATAATGGTAGGGAGAATCGTATGATATGTGAATATTTTAGCGCTTTAAAAATTTTATTTCTGCTGAACTGTGCTTAAAAAGGGTTATCCATGTACAGTAGTGCACAAAAGAAATCTTTTAAAGCCTTTGAAAACTGCCAAGGAAACCGAATACACAAAAAGGAAGTACAGTACCGCCCAAAAAGGTGTTGTCTAAAGTACAGTACCGTCAATAAAATATACCCTATAGTATTTTCAATACATGCGAACATCAATTAATAATTACCCATCAAAAATAAAACTACAGTACTGACCAAAAGCAATTATAATCAGAGTAATCTTCATTTATCGCTTTCTGCAGCATTAGTCATGCATTCCATTGACTCGGCAACAGGTTTTTTTACAACACGGTATACGGATTCATTAAGACGACCCAAAAACAAAACCGAAATGCGAGAAATATGATTATTACCGATGACAGGTGCCGATCATATTCGATTAACATGAAAATAAAACCAAAAATAACTTGAAAATTTTTATTGGAATGCATATTTTGGGCAACAAAAATCGATCGAGAATGAGGAAGCCTTTTAGCTCTCCAAAAAGGAGATGGGTAATGGCTCCTCCACATCGATATTAGCCTCTGGTTTCGGTGCTATATGATGCACCAAAGGGAAGACAATCGTTTTGAATTTTTCATAGATCTTCAGGGCCTCATAGTGGAAACCCTTATCGATCAGCGTATAGTTCTCTTCGGCCTGGAAGTACTTGTCGATGGGCGACAAGTCCACATCATTGCAGTTGATAAAGAAATGCGAAGAATTGATGGCAGCCACAATATCGAAGCACAGATCCATTCCCTCATTCCATATGGAAACAGCACCAAATGGCGTCGTGTCCCTGTCGCATATATTTATTATTTCCATGGCCTTTTTGAAGGTATGCATCATGATGACACCATCGGAATGGACGCCATACTCATCGGCAGCACAGTCGGTGAGCAAAATGGGCGAAGCCCTCGATGGAGCAGACATATCCATTTTGGAAACGACCTCCACCTGTATCTCATTTACGACCTTCAGCGTATTCAAATAACTGCGACGCCCGGCAGTGTGTGCTTCTTTTTTCAAAGGATTCAACTCGGGGCGAATACGTTCCAGGATTTCCGCACGAATATTCGCCGCCACAAAGACCGTGGCCACGGCATTCGGTTTGAATGGATTCTTCATTGATTCGATGAAAAAATGCAGGGCACTATTCATGTCACCATCCTCAAAGATGATCATCAAGTGGGGAGAGTGTCCCAACTTTTCTTGCTCCTCCTTTTGGAATTTTTGCTTTTCGGTTATTGTTGAGCGCTTGTTCCATCTGGAGGACTCCACCACATAATCATCATCCATCTCGTGAGCATGGGCTCCACTTTCCACGGCCTCATCGCTCTTCAGATTGAAGACCATGTCATATGTAATTTTTATTAGACCATCGGGATCTGTGTTCTCCGATTTGAGGGATGCGTCTGCAAAGGAATCGATTGATTGGGCAAAATAATTTATTTGATCCGACATGGTTTTGGAATAGAGAAAGTAAAAGAAATATTCAATGAATAAATAAAGGAAATAATCGAATGTGATTCTATAAAATGTAAACATAGAATAATTCAAAGCACACGAGACTGGGGAAAAATTAAAAACTAATAGCTGCTTGGCTCGAGCTTCGCTGATAAGGTTGTTATTGTTGTTTAATTTTTTATATTGTTTATTTATTTATTTATTTAAGATTATGGGAATATAAAACTTTCTCTATTCAAAAATCCTAAGCAAAATTATATGGGCTCTATCTGATGCAATTAAATATAACTAATCGCAGCCTTGTGGTCTTTAGAAATACCTTTCAATAGAGCTTTTCTTTTTCGGTGGGATTTTCGGGTGGTGGTTATTATTTGTTAATCGCTAAATTTATGATCAAATGTGACAGTAAAATTAAAATATCACAAACAGATACAAAAATTGACCAAAAATACACAAAACCCACACACAAAGTCCATTGGGTTCGGGTGGTGTGTGGAGGGGGGAGGGGAGGTCAACTGCATTTGTGGATTTGTACGAAAAATTAGCATTAAAATATTATAAATATTTTGGCAAAATATTACCCCCATACATGGGAACAAAGAGCATGCGATTATGAAACAACAAACAACGCATGTAAATTACAACGACAATTAAAAACATTTAAAACCACAAAAGATATATCCTTTTTTAGGGGGCATATCTGCCCCTAAACGAGTTTGAGGGACATCCATGGACCATGGGACATCAAGTGCAGTCGCAGCACCACCAGCAAACAATACGAATACAAAAATTCTGCTAACGATTCTGCCATTTACATATATCAAGAGTAATTATAATAAAATGCCGAAAATAAAATTAAAATTAATATAGAAAGCCGATTATAAAATCCTGTTTATACAAATACATATCATCCTCCTGCTGCTGCTGCAACACCAACAACCACCCACCACCCGTATTCCGTGTGTTGCAACAACGACTGTCAAAATCTAGCAAATCCCATAAATCAACAATGAAAATTTGCACACACAAAATAAAAAAGAGACACTGGAATGGCAAAACAAATACAAAAAAAAAAAAAACACACACACGAGGCCAAGCCTGAAATTTGTATGAATAATTGAAGACAAATAAATTTTGTGTTATGTTTAAAACGTATATCTGTATAGTCGATACAAATGAAGGCACAAATCATCGATGTTTCGGGTCAAAACCCAACTATTGTCAGCAATTTTAAGGTAAATCTTCATCAAAAATCTAATGACTTTGGGGACATATATGCGATAGTCTTATTTTATGGGGGAAAAAAAGGCTTGAAGACGTTTTTCAGCACTCTTTGGATAGTCCACGCGTCATGCAGCAGCGCCTCACGGTCCTGCATCTCTTATTTGTTCGAAGAATTGCTTTGAATTTTCTGTCAGCTTAGAATATTTTTTGAATTTAAATAAATTTCAAAGATATTGCAAGAATGTATTTCAAGTCGGTTCCTTCCCTACTAATAATAGCATTTTCGGTGAGTCTTTCATAGAAATATATCCCAAAAATAAACCCTAAGAGCAGCTTCCACTTTTCAGTTGCTTTTGGCCGTGACATTTCGTATAACTCTGCCTTGGATACTTCGCTTGGATGGCATAATCTATCTGCAGAACTATACCGCAACTGCAATCGATTTTTATTTGGCTATAACGAGTCTTAATGGGATTATCATCATACTATTTTTAGTTAGTTTTCTGCTGTTAGATTTGACGTCGGATTGGATTTCTTTGTGGGTAGGTGGGAATGCGATTACAGATTGTGTTCCTCTGTTAATGCCGCGTAGTATATACCGCTGTCATCGTGGTCCATGTACTGGACATACGGTACATTTTTAGGTCGACTGAGAAAACTCTGGCCTAAGGAAGAAATGGAAGATCTGGCTGAGAAATGGGTGAAATATATCAATACAAATGACAGCTACTGGACGCAACTTGAATTGAAGGTGGGTTAAGGACTAGCACTAATGAGATCTTTTTCTGCTAATGTGTGTGTCCTTTTCCACTGTAGCTTCACTGTTGTGGCCTTGATGGACCCCGTTGGTATATGCATTACCTGCGCAGGGTACCCCAGTCGTGCTATAATCCCCATCTTGTAACCAAAGGATGTCAAAGTGTACTCCACGACAAACTTGATTCGCTGCATACCATCGCTTATCTGTTGTACATAAGTGCACTCCTCCTGGAGTATTCTATGCTGGTATTTTATTTGGTTTTTTTGTTTAAAAAGAGATTCTCGATTGCGTTTGAAAACAAAAAAATTAAATTCATAAGGAAAATAAAAATTTAGGAATAATTATAGAAGATAAAAGGTTGGTTATTTTTTGGGGAAGATAATCTATACTATAAATATATTTATCTATGTCGCTTGTCATGCAGCAGCTCTCATCAGTCCTTCCCATACCTTCTGCCATTCTCCATAATATTTTTCGATATTTATGAGATTTATGTTTTTAGAATTCGAATTTTTATCTATCCCTCGGAGCTTACGGGTGGAGCATAAAACATGCAGATGACAAATAAAATAAATTGAAATTAGCTTCCTCTTTTGTTGCTGAATAAAATTAATATAAATTTTCGCACATTTTTAATTAATAAATGTCAAATATCGTCGCCCCATACCCGCCATTTATTTATTTATTTGTCTGATTTGTAAATTTTCCTATGTATTTTTTTCTGTGTGTCTCTGCTGTGGCATTTCATTGCAAAAATTGATTTTATTTTTCTCTCGCGGGTTGTAATGGGGCGACACACGATAACAAAAATTTTTGCTATGTGAAAAATTGTTTCGAAAGAAGAGCAGAAGCGGAAACATACTTTGGGTTCGTACTCTTTGCAGCGGAAACGGAAGTCAATATTAGTAGGCAGAAAATGTGCATTGGAATTGCCACAAATTTCCACAAAAACGTACGTACGCGAACAATTTTTGACAATTGCATTCGCAATTATTAATGGTCGATCCCCCGAAACGGATTTTTGTTTTGTTTTTAGGTATTTTATATTTATATAGATGATATCAGGAAATCAATTTTGGTGTAGAATTTATGACCCAAAGGCATTGGCATTGCCGGTGTGTGGTTTTTGAAGGTAGATAAATGGAAATTGCTTTGTGATTAGGTGCTATAACAATTGCTGAAAATAAAAATGTGCTCACGTGGGTGGATTGTAGACTTTGAGAGAGTGGTAGATGGTATTTAAAGGGGGTGTATGGGGGGATCTATGGATCTTGGGTTTTCAGGAACTGTAAAAAATTAAGAATTACATAATGGTATTTATTTTGTGATTTTTCTAATATGCTCTGATATTTTTTTAAGTACTTAAATGTCCTGGTAATATTTTCTAGGTATTTTTATCATATCTTACCCCAGTTCTCATTATATAATGGATAAAATATTTATAAAGACTCCTTGAGCTACAACAGATCTCAAAATATCTGCTAGGGTCTCCTTTACACTTATCACGCGTCATGCAACAGCAATCCTCGTTCCGACATCTTCTTAATTTTCATACCAATACTTTTCATTGATATTATTACTGTTATTAAATTATTATTTTATTTATTATTATTTATTATATTATTATTATATATTATATTATTTTCTGCCACTCTAATCCCCTATCGAAAACCTTGTTTTCTTTTCAACATTGACAAATTCCTGTGGCCACTCTCGCTATCATTTTTATGGGGGATACAACGTCAAAAAGGCAGTCATTAAACACGTGAACGATCCGGGGCCAAAAGCGACGACTTTAACGACTCCAAGACGATGTGTGCCATTCGCTTTGATTGATTGCCCGATGGCACCGCGATTTGAAGACTGTTAACTCGTGTCACTCTTTAAATTTAAAAATACTTCTACACCGCATCGTGGGCGATAAGTAAGAGCGGCCATAAATATATCACGCGAAAAGAATTTCGTATAAGTTGTAGAATATTTTTGTGATGTGTGTGTGTGTGGCTGGCAAGTGTCAAACATTGGACGACAGGCAGGCATCAAATGTGTGGAGGGACTTATCATTTGCTCATAAAAATGTCAAAACTATCGCACACTGACATTGACTGATGACAGTGTGCGCCCGCCCGCCCCCCGCCCTACACACACATTCCATTCCATCCACTTGGGTTCGTTCTCAATAGCAGGAGGTTCCTTTCCATCCTTGTGTGTGTGTGTGTGTGGGGCAGGCAGGATGCCAATGTTAAATGCTTTCTGTCGGTCCTCTCCTTTCCACAATGTCACATATTCCAGCATCAGCAGCAGCAGCAAGCAGCATCAGCAGCAGCAGCAAGCAGCATCAGCAGCAGCATCAACAGCATTGCCATCATTCAACACGCATCCTCATGTTGAGTGATTCCCATTTTATGCTGGTTTTTTTTTTCATGTTGTTGTTGCCTTTGCTTTTGCAGGACTCTTTCTGCATTCATCCAACCGTCTATCCATCAATTGAGTGATTCAGAGCGAGAGGTGAAGCCCCATCATCAACCATAACCAGTGGAGGGAGGAGGAGGAGGAGTCGGAGGAGTCGTCTCTCGTCTCTCCATCTGTGTGTCATGATTCATGGCTTCGATTGAATTTTGATTGACAATATCGCAAGCATTTAAAGTGTCTGTTTCCGCTTTTCTTCGTGTTCTATGAATATTTTTTTTTTCTGCATCCAGCAAGGAGCAAAGCGGAGTAGAGCTTTGACGAGGAAGCAGCCTTTGGTTGAAGTGATTTTAAAAATCATTTGTCATTTGACAGATGAGCATTTGATTGACTTCAATGACTGTGGATATATCACACAAGTTGTGTGTGTGTATCTTAGTTGGGGATAGCAGCAAGACGTGGGTGGGATAACAGATCAATTAAGTGAATGATTGGAGCAAGTTTGAACGCTGGAAAAGTGGGTTAAATGAGATAGTTCTCTTTAATTTACTATCCAATAATGGACTTGTCCATGTAATCTTTTATTTAGTATAGGTTTTGCCCCCCTAAGAAATATAACCCTTTTGATATGTGTGTCATTTGTCCCTCCACTCTGCGAACGTACACATCAATTAGCGATAAGATCTCTCTCCCTCTCTCTCTCTGTCCCACTCGTTTTTTGACTTATTTATGAGGCCTGACCAATTCCAATACGAAATCAGAGCAATTTGAGTGATTACCTGTTTGAACAATTTGAGATTTATGCGGCCGAACAGCAGGGAACAAAATCTAATCGATGAATAGTACTTGATAAGCATAGAAGAAATATTGTTTTTATTTTCATTTGATTCTGGCAGAAATTGATAACCAGAAGTTCTCTAATTAAGAAACTCCACGAGGTTTGTCTCACATTTATAAACAGAAATGTACCGAAAACTCGGCACAGTTTTCCCCATTCATTTACCCAGTTTTTTTCCCTGAGTTATTTTTATTTTAAATCAACATGTTAAATTCACATTTGAGCAAAAACTCACTTGTCAATTGCTGCCAGCAGCAACGTGTTCATGGCTTAATTTTTTGCAACAGTCACGCACTTTTTCGGGGCGGGGGGGTGGCATGCATCACGAGGGGCATTTCAATTTGTTCCTGTCAACGAGGCTGGACGAATTTCGGTGAGAAAATCCTGTCCAATTTAGGACATTTTTGCATTAATTGAAAGCGAGTTGCCCCCCACGCAAACCAAATGATTTTTAATTATTTCTTTTTTTTTTTTATTTATAATTTTTTGAAACAAGGATCAGCCAGGAGGCCCCAATTCCCGTGGGTTTGGGATTGTGTCCGCAGTTAAATAAATTGCAAATTATTACGTATTTTGGTGTTGGTTGTTCCTTTGTGGCATTTATTTTAATTTTAATTCAATTGCATGTCGCTCATCTGCAACTCTCTCTGTGGCGCCGCTCCCCTCTCCCTCACTCACTCTCTCTCTGTCCTGTGGCGCCACTCTTCAAATAAACTGACATTTTGACGCAAATTATCCGCTGCGGGCAATGGCCATGGCCAGGAGCCCAAAAGGATCCATAGACTGACTTTGAGGCTTAATCATTTGATTAATGAAAAAGGATTTTCCACTCGCTTTTATTTAATTTTCATTCATGGAATGTAAAGCCAGGCGGAATATTACGGAAGTGCCATTGAAAAGCCAACAAAACATTAAGCAACTTTTGATCGTAAAAAAGTCCCAAACGGAACAGACACACACACACACACACACACAAATATTTATAGATCCCAAATACCAAAAATTATAAACCAAACAAAAGAGGAGACGAGACGAAACGCAAAATGAAATATCATAAATTTCAATGAACAAAATCCATTTGATGACAATAAATATCAAAGCTCATAAACTCCAAAGCTAAAGCGAACAGCCAACTGTGTGGTTGGTCACTGGGGGAGAGCGGGGAATCTGACTACAGATTCGGATCTAAAAAGGCCAAAGCACTAGCGGAGCAAGCGAAGCAACGGAACGTTGGAACGGCGGGGAAGGAAGAGCTGGAGGAGAGTGTCATAAACCATTTGACATTTTATCAGTTCGTCAAATTCGTGAAATGAAACTGAAACTAAATCAGAGAATGGGAACGGGACATAGAGATGGTCGAATGAATATGAATCAAAGATTTTTAGACAAACGAATCGCACTAAAAAATTGTTTATTCATGAAAGAATGGACTTAAATGAATATAGATTAAAAATGAATGTGGGTAAAAATATAATGTTTAATCTAATACGTTAGCAGTAGGAAAAATCGACTGCTTTGACAGCTTTCATGTCAATGGAAATTCGACTGCTAATTGAATGTTTAATGTTTAATATCCCTTTGGAACTCATTTCTTAGATAAATGGGAAGAAATAATATAAAAAGAGAAGTTCCAATGTAACTACTCTTCGTGTCACGACACCAGCACTGCACGTTTCCATCTCTAATCTGAAAACATGTTTTGGATGGGCTCTCTACTCGGACTCGTTCTGGTGATAATTTTGTTGCTTACGGGAAACGCCATGAAGCGTGTAAAATGTTTTATTGTAATTGCTGCCATTGTGCCAGAGTCCCCAAGCTGCGATCTACACAGATAAAGTCTACAGTATTTCAGACGTACGATTCATCTCTTTTTTTATTGATCGAAAAAGTTCTTTAGTCTGGACAATAGCAGTACATTTTGATGCTCGTTTCGTTGGTGCAAAAGGACTGACTGCGATACTCGTTTATGCGAGTGATGGGACCCGTCAAATGGAACTTATCCGTGAGACGTGCCTGTCCCTCAAAGAGGCCATCCCCTGGCACGGTGCGCACCCTCAGCCGTAGCTCATAGACGAACGAACTCTCCCCCAGATCCACGAAATAGGCAAGCATCACCTTGGAGAGCCGCAACTGCTGGCATTTCTCGTGCGGAGCGATAAATCCATTGATGGAAGCAATCAGAAAGCGAGCAGTGCGCACCACAATGCCATCATCGGTGGGTATTTGCGTGAGATCGGTGCAGGGGCAGTAGTGCGACGGTATGCCAGCCGCATCGCAGTTCCGTTTCAGGGGCAACGGCAGAAAGAGACTCACGCCACGTGGCATCTTCTTGGGGGGATAGTTACGCAATACATGCGTTCGATTCTCCACATGGTAGTCCCTCAGGAGATTCAAATCCATCAAATCCTTGAGGGTCGCATGCAGATCGAAGGCCGTCACTAGATTGAAAGCATTTCGCTTAAAGTTGTCCATTGCAAATGGATATTTGGCCTGGAGCCAGTCGGGATAAATGGCCAAAAGAAACGGCCGCGACTCCTCACGCATGCCGCTGGACGTCAAGCGATAATTACCAGAACGCAGGCCATAATCGGACATCAGCAGCACCACCGTATGGTCCAGAATATCCATCTCCTGGAGACGCTTCAAACGCTTCACATAGTCCACATCCAAACGCCAGGCATAATGATAGTAGTCCTTGACGCCTTGCGAGTGCCAAAAGAGTGAGAAAAATGGTACAGTTTTCATGTAAAACGATAATTTATCGATGAAATAATTCAGAACATCGTTAAACTGCCGCCCACCCGAGCAGTGGACGAGCTCATTCGCATCGAGGCTGTAGCGCGTGTATTTATCCATTTCAAGCATGACAGGATGCAGATAAAAGTCCGTAGGCTTTTTGCGGAAACCCGATTTTCCATCCGTGAAAATGCCGTCAGCGGTGTCCTCTCCATAGCTCGTGGAATAGCCAGCCGTCTTGAATTCATCCCAAAGTAGGCCGCAATTATCGTATGTCGACTTATTCACCGACAGACATTTTGTCTCCAGCTCATCGGGGCGCAGGCCACTCAGTAGAGGCACCACATTGTCATAGGCATCCATACCGACGCGACTGTAGCCCGGGAAAAACGTGTGCGGCACATACTCCAGAAAGGTCGTTAAATGCGGAAAATTCCGATCGAAATGCAGCTGAGACATCGAATCGATGCCCAAAATCATGACAGACAAGCGTTCGGGTGTCGGATCGTATGTCGTTGGTGGTTTCGTACGCTCTTCGACCGGCGGTGGCATAAAGAATATTACATCATTGTATTTGATGAAATTATCAGCACCTCGGCACTGTATGCGATACATTTGATGGTTGGACTCCACCTGAATGGGTTTGTTTTCATCGGGACTGAGATTGAACTCCCTCTCCAGTAGGTATTTATTTGAGCGATCATCCTGACGTTCCATTAGCCAATATTTGCACTGTAAATTTTCCTCCACATTGCTGGCTACAAGATAGTTTTTACCGTCTTCATAATGCGCTGAGATCAACTGCGGTCCTTTGCATTCCAGCACGTGTATGGGCTCCACAAATGGCACGTATTTCGTTGGTTTTGGCAGGTAACGCACTTTACAGCCAGTTGTGTTGATTACGAAACGATTGACAATCAATTCTGATTCTTTGCCGAAATGTTCCGTGAGATATTCCAGATTAAAGTAGCCCATAAAACAGATGCCTATAAACAGCCAAACGAGGCGACGAGTGCATTTTTTCAAAGAGTCGGGAAACATTTTTAGTGGGTTGATTACTTGTTCGCTCTTGATTGCAAACTGAATTTGTATTTGCCAGAAAATTCGTAGGAAAACTATCCAATTAAAATCTTAAATAATGGCCTACTATATTCAAAGAAAAGTTGGGAAATTTCTTGAAGAAAAAACCAGAAAAAATGGATATTTTTTTTGAAGAAAATTCAGTCCTGTTTTTGCTATGGCAATTTAGGGAGCTTTTTTGGGCAAAAAATTTGAATTCTGTAATATATATTTATTGTTGTTTCCTATGAATTATTTTCATAATTTCGAATGCATGCTGCTATTGAATTAATAATTTCCATAAGAAAAGCTACCTAAAAAAAAATTACATTTCTCCCTAAAACTATATACCAATAATACCCAAAAAACCAATTAAAAATCCCCCAAAAATGATTAGAAAATAATAATAAATAAATTAAGTCGAACAATTGTTGATCCCACATTACGATTAAAGCAGAAACGAAAAAAGATTGGGTGGAAAAAGTAGAGGAAATAAATAAGAGGAAAAACTGTGACTTTTTTGTTGTTGTTTATTCTAAATAAATAACGAGCGAGCGTTGTACCGTTATGCACATGGACGCGATGTAAATGCGCCGCCCTGTTGTCCATTTAAATTATAAAATCTAATCACCTTTGTTTAAAAATTAATGAATGCAATAATTTTAGAGGATTTGCAGTCGGAAACCATCAACGATGCGGTGTGGTGCGGTGTTGGGCTGGACTGGGGTGGTGTGGAGATCTAAATGTGTGTTGGATAATTGGCGACAGCCGCCTAAAAGGGCATAAAAATTAAACAAAAACAATACAAATAAAAACGGATTAAACGAAGAGAAAAAAAAAAAATAGATTATGGAAAAGCATAACAAAAGAATTTTCAGTTTTATTTGTATTTATCGCTTGGCGTATATGCAAATAAGCAGCCAACAAATATTTGAATGGTTTCTACCCCCCATTCTATTCCCCCCATTCGTATAAAAATCGAGCAATTTATTTAACAAATTATCCATTTTAGCGGCGCTATTTCGCTTTGTTTTGTCAAATGAGGTTAATTTGTGTTTAACCTGACATGTGTGCTGGTCCTTCCTCCCTTTCAGTGGGTCCTTCTCCAACTCCTTCTCCTCTTTTGCGGTCTGCAGTGTGGGTAAACGCAGTTTGTGCTTTTTGTCCCCCCATTGCCAGTGTAACCAAACGGCAGTTAGATGGCCGTCAACATGCCGCCATTTTACACAAATTGGTTGGCATAATGCAGTCTATAATAAAAAAAAAAAAAAGACTAGTGGAAGAAGCGGGGGTTTTAGAGATCAATAAAATTAAAGGGTATCCGTGGTGTGTACAAAAATTGATAGGTTTCTTGGGAGCATCCAGGTTTCAAAACTCTATTTTAAATCTACTTTTCAGAAAAAATTATTTTAAGAATATTTACGCAACAAATTATTTTAATATAATTTCAAATTAATTATTTTGATGGAAAATACATTTTTGCCTTTTTTGTATAAAATATTTATGGTATATGTTTTAGGTCTTGAATATTATACAATTATTATAAGAGAGCTATCCACCTCGTTGGTTTTTTATTAGACTTAATAAATCTACAACAAATTTCTATCTTTCTATGTTCTATGTTCAGAAATAATTAAGATTTTCATTCTTTGACAGACTTATTTTAAAATATAAATTTTGTTATCTAATCTAAATTTCTACCAAAAAATCTATAAAAAAAAGTCCCATTATTCTGCCCATTCGATTCCAAAGTGTCGCTCATTTTCAGCTACAACCTAATGGCAGAGCCAATATACGAGTGTGTACATGGATTTCTATATAGATATACAGATATGTATATATATATGTATATGATATTTATATACATTTATCCAATCCAAAATAATTGCAATGGACATGCCAAAGGGCGCCCCAGAGAGCGTATGCCTGCCACATGAAGCATGAGGAATGAGGCATGAGGCATGAGGTTGAGGCAGGTTTGTTGTCTGGTGTGACGCTGCGTTGACGTTGTCATCAAAATAAAAATTAATTATGCATTCTATGCATTCGCTTGCATTTGAATTGCTTTTGTTGTGCCGTTTTGTTTGCTGTGTTACTGTCATTTCCCGCACTTTTTCGAGTGCGTTTTTGTGCTTGCGGCACGGGATTAATGTGGCATTAAAGCACCGTGCAACATGGCCACCACACCCTACCCTGCATATATTGTACTTTTTAGCATTCTCGGATATAACTGTGGGGGCAAATAAATTACAAATATAATAATTAAGCAGCGGCAACAAAATGGTTGAAGGTTTTGGGGTGTGTAGGTACATAGTGCAATTTTTGGGTGCACTTGCCACAAACTGGTTCGGTGGCGCCACACTAAAATGCATTTGTGCATAGGAATTAATTACGCATAATGACAATTTGATAAAATTGAAAAATTACATTTTATTTCAATTGATTTATTGTAATTAAAAATTCTATAAATGCGTCGCCCTGTTTTCTGTTCTGTTCTGTTCTGTTTCTATTTGAATATAATTTTATCAGTTATTTTCCATTTGTGGAGCAGGGCATTGTTATTGGATGATTTGTAACTCTCCCCCATTTGATTGGACAAAAGTATACGCATAATTAGTCAAACGATATATTCATGGAGATATTTATCCAATTTATTCATTACACGAATCAACGAAATAACACAGAAACATTTTTTAACATCAGAAATCAAGCAACAACAAATTATTCAAATTTAATAGAAGAAAAATATTGCGGATATCTTTTCTTTTAGCCACTGTATGAAGCCGCTCTTCTTCGGAGAAGCCACATCCCCCACATCCACATTCACTGGTGGCTCAACCTTGACCTCCTCTGGCTCCGACGGCTGCTCCAGCTGTTGCTGCTCCAGCTGCTCGGTAGCTTGCTGCTGCTCTTCCTTTTGCTTGAGGCCCTGCTTCGGCTCCTGCTGCTGCTGTTTGGGTGCCTCCATTTCTATAACACACGAAGCCTTCAAGTCCGTTGGAGTCACAGCATCAGACATCATAAGTGGTCCACTGTCAACAACATCCGCATCGTCCATCTCTTCTATGGCACCCAGAAAGGCCTGCAAGGCCATGGGATTCTCAGGCTTAACACTGACGCGTATGTCCCCGCCATAGCCAATTTTCTGGCCATCGTAGCTCAAGGCAATCTGACAGTCCACAGTGCTGAGATACTTCAGATACATGACATTCGTTTGGGTGAAGCCCTTGGACTGGATCTTGCCGATGTCATTGAAGAAGCGATACACCAAAAAGGCACGATCCAATTGGTAACCGCTGATGGCAATCCAGAATTTGTTTAGCTGCTGCTCGGGGTCCACCTTCTGGTAGGGGTCTTGCGCCTCCTCCTCCTTTGGGGTGACAGCTTCAGCGGGTGCTCCTTCTGGCTCCTTGAGCACCTCGCCCAGCACCTCCTCCAGCTGCTCCGTCTTGTGGATGGCGGTCAAAAATGAATCATGCGATGCACTTTTCTTGACTGTCTCCTTTGTGGGATTCATTTTTGAAGATTTTATTTAGTTTTAAGAATGAAAAATTAAAATTGTTTTTCAAATTTCAAAGTCTGTTGCGCTGCCAGTAGAATATATCGAATGGTGTGCTGATTTTTATTTAGTTGGAATATTAAATTTACGTTTAAGCAAAGGTATAGTGATGGGCAAAATTATTTTCTTAAAGAAAAAATAAGTTTAAGGTAAATTTGGAAGAGAATTTCCATGGTTTAGCTATCCAAAAAATACGAAAGATTTAAAGCTAATTTCTCACCCAATTCCAGAGTTTTCTTGAGGAATTTTCACAACTCTAAAAGTGTTGCCACATCATGTAAAATAATTATTACTTATGATTTTTCGTTGATTTTACTTTGATAAATTCACACCAGAAAACAACCTGACAAAGAACGTATAAACGATGCATGTAAATTCCAGCATTAGGTTTTCCCCATTTTCCCAATTTCCCCATAGATAGATCACAGATCATTGATTTTTATCAGGTCACGAAATGAGATACCATCTTTGATCTGGAAATATTTCTATAATTCGCGGATGATTAACACCCGATGGATATCCCGTTTTGTCGGGATGGATCCACAATCCATCAGTTCACACCTGAGTTCAATAGAGCCACAACAGAGTGGTGTGTGTGTTGGGTGGGGGGTGGATGGTTCAAAGGGTAGCCGCCACAGCAAACAAATAAACAAATTAGAAACTCATTCGATTGTTAAAATTATGATGAGAACCAACAAGAAAGTACAGGGTACAGAGGTTCGTCTCCGTTTGAAGTCCATCCACGGAAGCAGCCGCCTTTAATCTTCGATCGGTTTTATGGGCACCCAAAATCGTTGCAACTGAAAGACACTTCCGTGTCGGCCTCCTTTGTGGCACGTTGTGGGTGGCAAATAGCCAGCAGCTACAGCAGCAACAGGCACCGCATTGGCCGGCGCCTTCAAGTCAAGTATTACTTGTATTTATATCATAGCTAATTTTTAATATTTTATTGACTTCTGGGCCTTTGAACTTCGATTGGTATGGTAAATCTTTTTTCTTTTTTGGGGGGGGTTCTGGAACCTCTGAAATTTATGTACAATCCGAAATACCTTTCCACAGATGCTGCTGCCTGCTGCTTGCTGCTGCTGCTGGCTGCGATATGCTCATAAATTGTCTGAAATTATGCGTAAATAAAGCAAAATCTCGTGTGTGCCTGTGTGTATTGTTGTACCGCCGTTTGATGTTGTTGTTGCAACGCTTTTGTGGTTCTTTTGTTTGAGTGGTGTAGATTGTGGTGTGGTGTGGATTTAGGGGTAACCTAAATCATATATTGATATTTGGTATTTCCTGAGGAATTGAAGAGATTCAAAGTTTCATAAGGAAGGGAAGAAATTATTTTTTTAAAGAGTTTTAACTTTTACATGGAAATGGAACTCCATGGTAAAAATTATCATAAAATTATTAAAAATTCTACATTTTATTTAAAATAATTGAATCAAGTAATTTCATCGCCCACTTCCGTATAAATATCCCCCCATTCCGTGACTCTTTCAGTGCACGCGGGGCAGACTGGTTGAGGGGGTGCGGAGAGGTGGTTTGATTGAGTGGGAGGAGAAGGTTGGAGGTCGTGCGCTGACGTCGACGCTGGCGCTGGCGTCTCTGCCGCTAATTTGCCGGCAAAAGTTGCATGCATCGCGAGAGCGTGGGAGAGAGCATAACAAAAGAGCCGCTGTTGTGTGCCTCTCTCTCTCTCTCTCTCTCTCTCGCTGTACAATTTCCCCTTTTTGCAGAGACAGCCTGTTCCATTTCCCATGTTCCGCATATTGCCCCGTTATTTCCCCTTATACAGCGTCTCATTGATGCTCTCTGCTGCTCAAGAAAAATTCTCTCGCTCTCCCTCGCTCACTCTCTCTCTTTCGCACTAATATAGGCTAGTGCTATCTCACTTGTGCACCCAATCGAAGTGGTTTGTTTTATTTTTTTTGTTTTGTTTTGTTTTACTTTACGCTGCCTTTGTGTTTGTGTGTGTTAATTGTTGTTGCATACAACAAATGCAGTGGAAAACAGCGGCAGAGGTTTTATTGTTATTATATTTTTATTTATTCTGGTTTTCATTTTATTTTTTTTTTTGCATTCTTTTATTTTTCTCGAATTTTTCTTTTTCATATCTTTTACATGTTTTTTTTCGCTTATTTTTTAACTTCGTTTTGCCACTGGGCATTAATCACTGATGGAGTGCCAGGTGGCAGTTTCAGGTGCCATTTCGGGTCTGTTATTAGGGTTAATGGATCAAATCAAAAATATCATGGAACCTCTCTTAAAGAATATCTCTCTCTCTTGGCCCTCGCACAATGGCAAAATATTTTGTTGTCAACAATTAAACCCCTTTTAATTATATTAAAAATTTCTATGTCAGAATTAAAGACAATAAAAAATATAGAAAATAAATATTATAAAACGTAAAATCTGCCTTTAATTGCCATGTTTGGAATCCAGCTGAAAAGAACTTGGAGATTCCTGTCCAGGAAGACTTCTGTCATTTTGAGATGACAGCTGCCTTGAAAATTCGTTTCGATTCCCTTTACTGACAGAATTACAAAATGGTTACCACGAACAAGTTGATTAGAGCCCACGAAATGTTCGATTTGGGCACTTGCCTCAAACGTTACATGCCCACGGCGGCGTCCTGTGCCAGCGCCGCCTGTCGTCGTCGTGTAACCGCGTTGCAAGTGCCTCCAACGAACAACCAAGCGGTTCTCAATTATGCAGGGAACTTGGATACGCAAATTAATGGAAAATTGAATGCCAATTATCAGACGGAGAAGCAGCATTGGTTTCTGATCAATCAAAATATTATCTACGCTTTGGCCAAGCTCCTGGAACGTCCTGCGGATGTGGTCTTTGAGTTTCTGTACGCCCTGACGTTGCAGAACTTTGGCAAGGTACTCAATCCGCTGGGGCATCCCTGGAGTGCGTGTCAGGTGCCTCTGTCGAACTATGACACGTGCGATTACTACAATGGCATTTTCGATAGCCAGGGCAACCTAAGGGACCCCAAACATCACGATTCGCTGAGAATTCTCATCCAAATACTGCAATCCATATTGAGAGAACGTCCGGATGCGGATAATGGGCCACATGGGTCGCTCTTTGGGGCACTGATTATCACTCGCATAAAAAGAAGACGACCTCGTAGAAGCAGAGCAAAACGCGCTGGCATCGGTCCGGGAAGTGCTGCCCGTAGGAGGAGCCAGGTGAGAGTACAGGCATCGAATCAAAGAGCTCTGGAGTTGGCCCAAAGACTCAACAGAATCGCCGAACCTGCCAAGTGGTTCAACGATGGAGGAGAGCCAGGACTGCCGGACTATAGACATTGCTTTGCCTTGCCTATTGGTACCCCAACAAAAGCCCTTGGTCCGAGTGCTGGCAAGTTAAAGCGCCCAAAGGCAGGTCCCAATGGCCAAAACGCGGATCACTTTGAACAAAAAGGCGCTCACCGGGGCAAAGAAGGCAGCGAAGTCCTTGGGCCGAGTGCTGGGAAGTTAAAGCGCCCACTTGCAGGTCCCAGTGGCCAAAGCGCGGATCACTTTAAGCAAAAAGACGCTCACTGGGGCAAAGAAGGCAGCGAAGTCCTTGGGCCGAGTGCTGGGAAGTTAAAGCGCCCACAGGCAGGTCCCAGTGGCCAAAACGCGGATCACTTTAAACCAAATGGCGCTCACCGGGGCAAAGAAGGCAGCGATGGAGGACTCTCTGGCTCTGACAGACGATTATCCGACACTTTGAATAGCTCCTTCAAGGGAAAACTGCTCAAGGGACAAGAGACACAGAATGGCAAGGTATTGCCAGCAGATCAGGAGGGTGGTGGTGGCGGTGGCCAGAGGAAGAAGCCAAAACTAGGGACTTCCACTCGCGGCACAGAGCTTAGATCTCTGATTGATGATGTGAATAAAAAAACACGTGTTTCAAACAATTTGGAAACGCTGATAGAGGCCGTGAATGACCTCGACCTGGACTCGCCACAAAGTAAAGATATTACCAAAAACAAGTTCCTGCAGCGACGCATATCGGATGAGTATAACGCAATTACGAATCCATTGAACGTGGCCCCAGAGGGCTCCTCGGAGAGCGCAAAGAAAGGAAAGGGAAAAGCAAAGCGCAATCGGAAAGGGCTCAAAGGCGATGGCAATAGCCAGCAGAAGCTTGGAAAATCCGATGGCTACTCGAAGAACGGAAAAGGTACAACCGAAGGCGATCAGCAAGACGGAGAAGGTGCAGCCGATGGCAGCGCGAAAGATGGAAGAGGCTCAGCCGATGGCAACTCGATAGATGGAAAAGGTACAGCCGATGGCAAGGGATCCAAAGGGCAGTACGGTGAAGGGAAATACTCCACTCAAATGGATTCGGACAAACGCAAAAACCGCGTTACAGTGCAAACGAAACCACATTATGCAGATCAACCATCTAGAGGCACATCCTTTGGCAATCAAAAGAATCCACTGGACTACAAACGGAAGACCCCATGGCCCACGCACAGAACCCTGGAAGATGATACCCAAAAAGGTATTGGAAAGAAAGGTATTGGTAGGGTATTGGAAGATGATACCCAAAAAGGTATTGGAAAAAAAGGAAAAACAGAAGAATCCCCCACCTACCTGAAAGGGGCCACAAAGTTTCATGAACACAACGCAAAGCCTAAAAGGAAATCAGGAAAAGCGCACTACTACTACGGCGCACCGATACCAGTTCTCGTACACGAACCCTTTGATGAAAAAAAATCCTGGACATGGCTGAGACGCCACCCACAGCAGAACCGAATTGGTCCCGGTGGCGAACTCGCCAAAGCGGGCACCATACGCCGCTATCGACGCTCGTCCGTGGAGAGGCAAATGGTCGCCGCCAAGACCCGTAACTCCGTGCATTCTGTTTACTCGAATGTCAGTGATAGTGCGTTCAGGGCGGAGATGCCCATGTTCGGGGAGATTGTCGCCAAGAGAAGCAAGAGATCGTCTGTGGTTTCCAGGCATAAAACAAGAGCACGTCACACGCAGTTAAATCGAACTTTGCGTTAAACTTGTGCCCAGAATATTGACATATATTTTTGAAACGATTGTTGACCATTTTGTAAGTCTTTTAGTGAAATATTTAAAAATTATAAAATAAAATTTAAATTTAAATAAAGTTGTGCTCCCCTTTTTGAGGGTTTTTCGAGGGAGTATTCATGGGCATGAATCGTAGAAACACAATTTGGAAGACATGAGAATACAGCCAATGCGGAATCGTTCTTTATTAATGGTCGTCCTATTATAAATATCCTAATAATATTTTATAATTAAACGAGAAGGAACGTGTGAGTCGCTTCTGGGGTCGCGACTCTACTTTTATACCCGTTTTATACTCATTCAGTATATACTTTTTTTAGCTTATGATTTATGTAGAATTAAAAAAAAAAATTAATTTAATTATAAAAACTGTTTTAAGTTTTAATTATTGTTTCTTAGATCTTTTATTTTTATTTGATTAAATGCATACTATGTTTGTATGAACTTCACTGTATATCTTTTTGTGTAATACCTTTTTTATCTAAGATAATTTTGTATCTCTGAGATACGTCCTTATACTTTGAATATCTATTTTGTATATATTTTTAATACACTTCCTAGTTCTAAAATATGCAATGTAAACTTTTAGATTTTTAAATTTCCATACAAAAAATACTTTCGATCCATTTGTTTTCCTAAATTTCGTACACCTTTAGCTTTATTTTGTATCTATAAAAGCCTTTCCGACAAATATTTTGAGTGCAACAAATGCATCCACATCGTTTTCTCTGGTTCTATCTCTCATGTTTCCATTAAACCAATTAATCAAATCTCATAATTCACGAAATGGAAAAGCCCCGCAATAAATACGTATTTCCATAAACAACAGATCACACAATTTTTAAAAGAATATTCCAAAAAGTGTGAAAAAAACCCAAGGGCTTACATTCGAAACACAAATCGAGCGAAAAAAAAACAACCAGACCATAAACTGCTGTTGGGCTTTAAATTTGTAATAAAAATGCATTTACACCTAAAAAGAAAAAAACAATAGGGCGCAAAAAAAAACGACGAAAACAAAAGCTAGTGGAAAAAGCGCATGGAAAAGCGGACAAAAATATAGAATAGAACTGGGGAGGGAAAAAAACAAAAGGCAATCCAACACTAATAATTCGCTTTTATTGAGTGTTTCTGGTGCAATAAAAAACATTTTTCGGTTGAGGATTTCCCTGACTTTTGGATGCTGCTGCTGCTGCTGCAGCGGCTGCGGGTCGTAAAAGATTTTTTCGTAAAGATTTTATTGACCAGCAATGCAGCCACCAAAAGATCATGCAGCAGCAGCAGCGAACGGGTTGCACCGCAGGGCAGAGGGAGGCCTCCTATTAAAGAAACTTAACGAGCCAACAAATTACTACGCGTCATAAAAATCAAATCACAAAAATATACACACAGACAAGAAACGCGGGGCTCGGTGCTCGGGGCGCTGCTCTGTGGTTTGTGCTAAAAATAAATAAACACCGATGATGACTTCCCGAAAAAATAAAAGGGGAGGCGACTCGTCGTATCATTATCAAAATGATTTAAAAGCACAGTTGCGGTGGCATTTAAGGGGGATTTCCCAAAGCTGGGAGACACAGAAAAGATGTATAGGAGGGCACAAAAACAGAATTTAGAAAGAATAAGCCACGCTGGGAGAGAGCGGAAGATCTTTAGACAAGTATATAATTTTTATATCTAATTTTTCTTATTTTTAAGTAAACATTTGAGTGCCAAATAAAATCCCTAAAGTCCCATATCTATTTGAACTATGTATCTATCTATCTGTATCTATTCCATCTATGTATCTTTCGAAGCTAAACTCTAGAAATGCGACAACGAATAAACAATGTCAGCAGTTAGACGTAAACAAGATCATAAAACACCAGCAAAGCAGCCACTACCGCCGACTCTTTTATGCTTTGAAAAGTCAGTAGAGACTCCCCAGTGACTCCACCCTACTCTCCAATGTGTATAGCGGTTCCTTCTATCTATTTTTGCTGTCAAATGTGAAACGTTTGCTACTCCTTCATCCTTTTAAAAGTCAGCAGTAAAGCTCTAGCGACTCTGCTTATCCTTTTTGCTGTCAAAAGTGAACCCTATGGCACTCCTCCGTGCTCTGCGGCGTCAAATGTGAACGAGTATGTCGCCTGTCAGCCACTGACATCATAATAGTGTCATTGTCATCAGCCAGAAAGGACTGTGCAACGAACGCAGCACTCAACTGCCACCAACAAAAACAAAGAGAAAAAGAAAAACGCAGCACCAAAAGCAGGGCTCATAAATCAAAAAGGGCGGCACTCGCATGACGAGCACCAACAAAAACAATTAGAAAATTTTTGGGGCCAAAAACTAAACGCAGAGATCCAAACAGAAGGATATATGCCCCATATGCCAGGCATAAATAAACGATGATGCATGCAACAGCCAACGAAAGAGAAAGAGAGAGAGAGACAGGACACAACAAGGACCAGGACATGGAGGACAACGACAACATTTCATCAACGCCAAACGAGCGAAACGTTTATCAACTGCTCAAAAGGCCATTAAACGTGTGTGTTGCAACATCAACGCCCCCCAGAGCGGTAGGGGGATGCCACCAGAACGCAGGACAGCACACAGCAAACAGCAGCAACAACAGCAGCAGCAGCAGCAGGCAGGACGAGAACGAGGACGAGGACTATCTGGCAGGACATTCATCAAACGATAAATTGAGTGAATGACTTCATGATGGCGCTGCAAAAGGGGCGCACTTCCCGGCACTTCCGCTTAGACATACACAGACAGACAGACAGACAGACACATGGAGATGTTGCATGCCACGCCCACTCGTATATAGACACAGTGACCTGCCCCCCCCATCCATCCACCATTTTGAGTGACTGTCGGACTTAAATTGCCATCACATCCTGGAACGTCCGGTCCGTCCAGGCACTTGGCAATTGTTTCTTCTCTGCAACGATTGGGGAGCTGCCTTTTTGCCCGCCTTTTTGGCCGATTTTCGCCTGCACTTTTGCGAGTCGTTTTTGTCCAGATTGCTTGTGCAGCAGCCACGTCCATCCATCCATATCCCAGCAGCCTTGCGGCCAGCATTCGTCCATCGTTCGTTCGCTCCTTGGGCCCAACATTCATCATTGGCCGCTTGACGTGACGTTAGTGTTTTAATGGACTCCCCACTTGTCTGCTTTGATCACTGGCCCCCAATGCCTGCAGGAGCTGCTACACAGCACATCCTTCTGCGGGCTGGCTGCTGGCTAGCTGCTGGCTGGCTGCTGCATTGTTTGTCTACGTGTTTGGCAGTTGAGTCTGTCTGTCATTCCAGGACTACAGAGTGCTGGACTTGGGCTGTTCTTTATGTCTCACACACAGAGAGAGTGGGAGCGAGAGAGAGTGAGAGTCATTTGCATCTTTATTTGGTGTGTCCGAAGGCGTATTTATCTTTGGGGGGAAAAAAAAACGATTGTGGGAAAGTGCATTGATGTGCAGAGGCAAACGGAAATATTGGCAACAAACTTGCAGTGCAATGCTGACATTTAATGAGCTTATATTCCATCAACACATCATACGCGACTTCCGTGACATTAATCCTGCCATTCGATTTTAATCGCTGCTAATATAAACTAATTGGCATACTTAGCCGCCGCGACTACATAGAGAGAGAGGGGGGATATAAGGCCATAAGCAGGCTGTATGCATGGCATCTTCCCATCACACACACAGACACACACACACGGGCCTCTGCAAATTATCTAATGAATTTTCACTTAATCCAAATCAGAGATGTGACCGACCGCATCTCTTGCATCCGTTTGCATCTGTTGGTAGGCATCTTTTCTGCCTGCCTGCCTGCTGCTGCTTATGCTGTTGTTGTTGTTGTGTCGTTGCCTGTCATAATCCGATCAGCCAGGCGGCACAGGCGAACATGGCCCCAACCCCGAGAGCAGCCACATGGAGCAGCAGCAGCATCAGCAGCAGCATCAGCAGACGATGACTCTGTGTTGTGGCTGTTGGCACCCAAAAGATATGATCTGTGGCGATCTCCTTCGAGATGTTTTGTGGTCTATCTCTCTCCCTGTCCCTCTCGTCTTCTCGTGTCTTCTGTCTTCTTGTTGATTTTCATTTCATTTCTTGCTAATAATTCGCCTGACAGATATTCAGGCATAATTAGAGATTAATTGTTCTATTCATAATTGGTCTTGAGTTGATATTTCTGTGGACACGACAAAATTACAGTCAAGGTGTGGGGTGAACCCAACTGTCAAGACTGTGCTAGGACTGCGTGGAATGACAGCAACAGTTGCCGCCTATTAGGAATCATATTTAATATCATATGAGTTGTTGGAATTGCTGGCACAAATGGGCAGCAGAATGAAGCAGAAGCTACAGAAGAAGCTACAGGGAAGCTGGAGGGAAAGTGTGCAGCTCAAAATCAGCTGCGAAATTATGGCAGAAATTGTTGGATTAATTAAGGAGAAGCTAGAGAAAATTATGGGCATTTTTGCAGCGTTTTTTTTTCTTCAATTTCTTGTGGAACTCCAAAAGTTTATACCAAAGATCATTTGTAAACTAATTTTCATGGAAATCATGGCAGAAATTGTTGGATAAATTAAGGAGAAGCTAGAGAAAATATTGGCGTTTGTGCAACGTTTTTTTTTTTTCAATTTCTAGAGCAAAAGTTTATTATAAAGATATTTTTTAAACTAATTTTCCTGAAACATTTCAATCATTTCTAAAGCTTTATACTCAAAGAAATAAGCTCAAAATGGTATGTGTGAGTCGAAAAAACATTTCTTTACGCTCTGCTTTAATTTAGTGAGAAACCTTTCAACTTTCAAGCATTTCCAGCACTTCTTGTCGTCTTGTAGCCAAGAAATAAGCAGCCAAACAAATCTTTTACTTAACAATTGCATCTCCAAAAACAGAGAAAAAAATTGACAAAACAAGACAAGACATGGGACATGGACATGGACATGACCATACGATATCCTTGAGTTCTTGGCCAATTTCTTGTTGTTTAATTTGTGTTATTTGCCCATAAAGTTGATGGGTATGACATTCCGCCGGACAGCACA